TTGGCCATCCGTAACGACGAGGAGTTGAACAAACTCTTGTCAGGAGTTACCATTGCACAAGGTGGTGTACTTCCCAACATCCAAGCGGTTCTCCTTCCAAAAAAGACTGAAAAAAGCAGTTCTTAAATCGTTCAACAAACAATCGGCCCTTTTCAGGGCCACAAAATTTTAATACGTTGGTCAGTTCTAATTCTACAACATTTTTTTTATTATGAAACCCTCATTATAAGTTTAACACACTTTAATTCCAATTGCGGCAGCGATATAAATAGTCCTCTACAAAACATTACAAAGAATTGTTTTTTCTGATTCATTGAAAAACGGAATTTCTTAATTTTATTTACAATTATGGTGTACGGACGACAAAAAAAAGAATATTCCAAGTTGATAAAGAAAACAACACGAATATAGAAACTCGTAACTAGCCAGTTCATTATCGACGCCCATCTTAAAATAATTGTCTTCACCAGCGATTCTGATTATTTTAATTTCCTACTTAGTGTAATCTCTTTTTACTTACATTAATTATTCGATAATTACTTTAATCATTCAATTTCGTATTTTTTCTGATCAAATTCAATGACAAATGTAACAAAATAAAATCTATTCTCTCCATGGGAATACTGCCGTGATAAAGTAATTGAATTACAATAAACGATAATTAAAAGAACTTTAATCACAATGTTTAGTATAATGTTGGAAAATATTTAGTGTGAAGCGATGTGATCTCTTTCCGATTGAATCGAATGATGGATTTCCGTTTTGGGAACTTGGGCCCGAAGTCCCTTTTTGTTTATAATTCAGAGACTAGTTGTAAAGTAAAACAAGACTTGCATAATACTAGTCCAAGTCGAATAATTTTTAAAAGTAATCTTTAAATAATTGTAAGATTTCGTATAAATTGACTTTTGCATATGAATAACAACTCTAATAGCTCTAATTGAATGTCTCACGTTGTAAAAAATTTTTGGCCCTGAAAAGGGCCGATTATTGGAATGAACTGAAATTAGAATAACTTAAGCTCTCTCTCCTCGAATACGACGAGCCAGCTGGATATCCTTGGGCATGATGGTGACTCTCTTGGCGTGAATGGCGCAGAGGTTGGTGTCTTCAAAGAGACCGACGAGGTAGGCCTCGCTGGCTTCCTGAAGAGCCATCACAGCTGAGCTCTGGAATCTCAAGTCGGTCTTGAAGTCCTGGGCGATCTCACGAACGAGTCGTTGGAAGGGCAGTTTACGGATGAGAAGCTCAGTGCTCTTCTGGTAACGACGTATCTCACGAAGAGCTACAGTTCCTGGCCTGTAACGATGTGGCTTCTTAACTCCTCCTGTTGCTGGCGCACTCTTACGAGCGGCCTTGGTAGCCAGCTGTTTCCTCGGAGCCTTTCCTCCAGTCGATTTACGGGCAGTCTGCTTAGTACGAGCCATTGCGTCGAAGTCCGTACGATATTGTACGGTGATACCACAAAAGAACGAGTGAGTTGAACTCGCGCTGTTCCATGTTATATAACCGAGGGATCTCTCTGATTGGTGGAAACGAGCGGAGCGGGGGAAAAAGATCTGCTGCTTGGCCATTGGTGGATTCTCCCATGGTGGGGGGTCACTCAACCAGACCTCTATAAAAATGCGTGTTTGAGGGAAAATAGCATCACTTGCTGTTCCAGCGTACTGCGTATTTGACGTGTTCTTAATTCGAGAGACAAGATGACTGGTCGTGGAAAGGGAGGAAAAGGATTGGGAAAAGGAGGAGCCAAGCGCCATCGTAAAGTTCTTCGTGATAACATCCAGGGAATCACCAAACCAGCCATCCGTCGTCTCGCTCGTCGAGGTGGTGTCAAACGTATTTCTGGTTTGATCTACGAAGAAACTCGTGGTGTCCTCAAGGTATTCCTTGAGAATGTCATCCGTGATGCAGTCACCTACACCGAACACGCCAAGAGGAAGACCGTCACAGCTATGGACGTTGTCTACGCCCTGAAACGTCAAGGCCGTACTCTCTACGGATTTGGAGGTTAAAATCCATCTACTCGACAAAACAAATCGGCCCTTTTCAGGGCCATCAATTACTTATTACGTTGAAATTCAATACACGCTTTATTCTCAATTATTCCTTTACAATTATAAATAATTATAAATTCTCTGAAGAAAAATTTCCAAACCAACTTTACTGGATCATATATATATATATATATACATATATATTTATTGTGAGACCCAATTTTCACAGAATTACATTAATATCTTTTCAATTACACGTACTATTCTTTTCTTTCTCAAATAACAATACCATAATAACTAATAAACAATATTAGTTAAATGTCAATTGATAATTTCTTCCCGTCACGTCCACCGTATTTTTAGATTCTCTTTCAACACATTTTCTATTTACATAACAATGAAATAATCATCAAAGATCTTTCAGTCCATCAATAACCGTGTGCTCAGTAAATCAGTATTACAAAATATTAGCTAGTGCTTCAGTAATATTTACTGTCACCTCTACCTCCCCGAATAATTTAGTAAGTAAAACAATCCCCTGGACTCCCATCATTTCATCCCTGATATAAACAATTAAATTAATAATCCACGTCATAATCCTGAAGGTCATCCGAATATTGCTTTTGTCGGATAACTAAAAAACATTAATAAAATCCTATTCATTTTATTTATAATGTTCCTAACCTCCAATTCTGGTACTATCAATTTATTCTAGAGAAATCCGGAGGATGAATATCGCTAGAGGATTAAATCTCGTTATCCATCGTGCTGGCACGATAAAGGACAGGCTCTTCTCCAGGAAATATTTATTTTACACAAACGTAGGAATATCGATATCTTTATCAGCAACTGGTGATATTTTAGAGCAACATTATGAAATATTGAAGGTACAGTATTAAAATACTCTAGAAGAAACATCAAATCCTTTTCAATCGATCTCCTCTCTCTCAATTAATCCCATCAATTTTTTGTTTAACGACCGGTTGGATTATCTGTAAAAGATCATTTACTCCAAAATTGGAATTCCTAATTACTCTGGCAATTAATCCCTTTTTTTTTAATAATTGTTAGTTATCGTTCTAGCGGTTGTCAACGACTAGAAGGCTAGGTAACAATTATCGGATAAACTATTAATTGACGGAGTAATTAGAAGTCCCAATTTTGGAGTAAATTATCTTTTTCAGACAGTCCCTACGGGCCTTACATCCTCATTTATTAATTAGTATAAACAATTTGTTATGTAGGGTGAATGGCAGACGTGGAGTCCTCTTCGAACCCAGCACATGGCGATATCTGGGATGACAGTTGGAGTAATCTGTCATCACTGGTACAATTATCTCGATGCCAAAATTCCAGGGAAAACAATTAGCATCGTAATGAAGAAACTCGTTCTGGATCAGCTGATCTGCTCGCCTCTCTACATCGGTGCCTTCTTCCTGACGTTGGGAATCCTGGAAAACACGAGCTGGACGGATCTCAAGGCTGAGATGAAGGAGAAATTTCACAAATTGTACATTGCGGAGTGGATTATCTGGCCACCAGCTCAGATATTCAATTTCTATTTTCTACCGACTCGTTTTAGAGTTCTCTATGATAATACCATCTCCCTGGGGTACGACGTCTACACGAGTCAAGTGAAACACGGGAAGAAGGAGAGGACGAATGATATCAAAATCATTGAGTCAAACTAGGGTACACGGTTTTACTGATTTTTATAAATAAATTGTAAATACATGTCACCAATAAATACAAATTGATACGAGAAATTATTATGAGTCAAGTAATGGCTCGAGTCATTATCGTAGAATTACAGAATTTAAATTGGAAATGTAATTAATTCGATTTGATTTAGAATTTATATTTATGAAATATTGAAATTGAGATATTTAAAAAAATTGTAATAATCTAATAATATTCAGTGGTCCCAGGTGTCGAGTCTAAATCATTCCATCGTGAATGCCAATAGGAACTAAAACTGCGAGAAACAATAAAAAATTTCGCATCACTAGCTTCCAATCGTTTGGGACAGCGTAGGGTGCAAGGATGATGGTCAGCCTGTGGATCTGGAAGAGAAATTTAATTCTGCTTACAAATAATTGATTAATTAATTAAATGAAGATTGATCTATAGATGTCTACCTCGTGACTGGCACAGATGAAGATGAATGATGACACCAGTAGATTTAAAACTGGAAACCTCGGGAGGAGCACGAGAACTCCATGAGAATCAGCTGCCAACCACACGTGACCTTGACTAACTAATGTCTCGAGACTTATCCTGCCGAGACCTGCCAGGAGTACTGAGTATTTTCCTCGGAGCGCCAACGAGGAGTTCCTCAAGATGATGTACCCAATGATCTGATGATAAAAGAATGAGAAAAACAGTCTGATAAATAAATAAATGGGTGAACTCACCGGTATAAAGACAATGTAGGAATGAATCTCCTCGCATTCAGCGATGGATACGCAGAGCATCGTCAGGGTGGTGTAAGCAGCCAGAGAGACAATAGCAATGAGTGGTGCAAGAGCACTACCTGGGATATGATCCATCCTCTGGAGTGCAAGAAGAGCAGCACCAAAGGCCACACCAAAAGCCACACTGTAACGATCAACTCTCCACCGTGACCACCACTCCCTGATGTCATCATCAGTTGTGACAAAAAGTGCCTTCCAAGGACGAGTGACAAAGACCTTCTCGAAGAAGACCTCTGAGGTATAGAGTACAGTGATAACCGATACCAATCCAATGAGCTTCAGTGCCAGATAGAGCAGTGCTCTGGGTCCATGTTCAGTTAGACTTCCGGAATAAACTCTTGGTGGTAGCCAGGCGAGGAAATATACTACCCAGAACCAGAACGAGACGAGGGGAACGAAATGGTAGAACTGGTACGGTCGATTCATGGAGAAGCAGAGGAAAACGGCGAGGGCATTCAACCTGAAGAGCACCTGAAGCGAGAGAAGAATTTATTTTAAAATTAAGTGGAGATGGATCTTTTGGGGTGCTACTGCATGAGTTTCCATTTCATTTTTCAACTAGAGATTATAAAAAGAAATTGTTTTTTTGAAGGTTTCTCTTAGATTAGAGGAGAATTGGAGAGACTTTGGGATAAGTACCCGCGTCAAACGAACAAGGGATACATCCCCAGTCTGCCAGAAGTAGCAGAAGTGTCCGTATCCAGATAAAAATAAATAGGCTGAATTTATCAGCCTCAAGTGCATGTAAATCGGCAGAACATTGCTGGCACCAGTCACGTGATAGATGAGAACGACAGCCTGCATCAAGCCCCGCCATTCATCGGTTTGCTCACGATTGAGGGCCCTAGGGCCCCTCTCACAATCTTCAGTGAAGAATAATCCGAGTGCTAGGATGTAGCCCAGTGGCAGCCAAAAGCTGAATTCACTGTAGTATTTGTTCTCTTTCATAAAGAAATTCGTCCTGAAATTATCATATATTTCAGGATTATAATTGAATTTTCGTGAGAGCTCTGGGCCTACCTATCGCATAGATAAAAATATCCAAGGATACAGGAAAAAATAGCGAGCGATGTGATTAGACTGTAAAAATCATTGGCCTGGGGTATTTCTTCTCTGGGATCCTCGGGCTCGTGGGTCTCATCAGCTGCTTCCACTTCTTGAGTTACAACTCGTGAGTATAAAACTTCAGTCTTGTGGAATATTTTACGTAAGAGCCAGTAGCCACCACCTGTCACCACACTATCAACATAAATTAATAGAATCTTTTGATGGAATGAGATTAATTGTTGACGTACCAGACTGCCATAGCTGCTAGGGTAACCAATTGAAGAGTCGTTGCTGGTTCTGGACTACTGCAGCAAGTACCATCTCCAAAGTTCATGTGATCGTTGCAGTGAGTATTGAGTAAAATCTGGATTTTGTGTCTGAGGGATGATGGACTTGCTAGGTATCCATCTGGACTCTGCTCAAGGACACCCTGACCAATTAATCGACTGCTCTCCCAGAGGTGGGCTCCACTGTGCAGGAGAACTTCGTAAGCTGCTCTGTTGCAGAGATTTATCTGTTTATTATCGAGACCTGTCAGGTGTGCTGGAAGATTCTCCTTGAGGACAGGATCTTGCATCATCCACAGGAACTCTGAGCCCCTCTTTACGAGTGCATCTGCTGGCTGGACCAATCTCACCAGACCATTACTATATTCTGTGTATAATCTACTGCTGCTCGCATTGTGAGAGAGAATATCACCTGCTGCACACCCTGCCACGATCATTGCTGGAGCTTCACCTGTCTGGAGCATTAAAAAATATTAATTATTCAATGTAAGACTTCAGGGAAAGCCCCCAGGAACTATCCATTCAGGTGTATCCACGATTTTATAGTCACTGGATTATTATTTAATTGGGTAGTCCAGTTGTGATTAATCTCACCATCCAATTACGAAAATCTGTTATCATGGAGGAATCCAGTCTTGGCCTCCAGAGAAACTGTACATTCAATCTCAATTGTGCGTCATGAAAATTGAGGTCAGATGTCGGTGGAACATCAGCTGGATCTGATCCTTTTCCATTGACAACAAATTGCAACACAAATGATTTGTACAACTGACGAATTCTCTCGTCTCCAGTGAAAACAAAATGATTCTTGTGCCCCATGAAGGCTAAATACCTCAGGCATCTCCTGCTGTCTCTATTTAATAAATAATTCAATAAATAATTCAATCAATAACAATAATTTCAGTTATTAATTAATTCCTGTGTTTACGTTTGTGTGTAATGATGCATCATGCATCCGTAGGGCTGCCATTCCTTGTCTCCCTTGTACCTTCCTTCCTCCAGCAGCCATTTGCAGGAGTCACTGCCTGAAAATTAAACAATCATAAACAATTAATTGATGGGGGAAACCATGAGTTTAGAAGTCGTTGGGGACTTACCGTAAATTAAATGAATTAGTCCATGATACAAAACAAAACAAGCGACAAGAGCTGTTGCCAATTTTTTAGCACTCGCTACTGTAATTAAACTGATAAAATGTTCAGCAGCAGTCATGGCTGCTGTTATCCATAAATAAACTCATAAATAATTGGGAATAACGTTCTTATCGAGGCACATGCCGTGATTTGTTTATTGTTGACATCTTGCAGGGTTTCGGCTGCACACAATCTGAAGTGTTATTCATTTTTCAAACAGTGTTTTGTTTATTTATTATTTGCAACGGGTTGTTGCTGGTTTAGAGTGACAATTCCGAGGGGGTAAATAGTATTTCGAATTGAAATTAGGGAATCGTGAATATTTATTTATTTTTTAGACATAATAATGTACCCGGGATTTTTTATTTGTCGGCGACTGTCGCGCCAGTGACGGATTCTATATGAAATAAATTATTAAAGCGGGAGATGATACGATATTTAAAATTCAAATGTTATAAATAAATTGTTACTTGAAAAAACATCAGGTTTTATCTACAAAAATAACAATTGGGATTTTTATATTTTAATTGATTAATTCTACAGAGACGGGAGGTGGATCGAACTGGGGAATCGATTTGCGCAATGAATTCATCACGTTTAAAGTTTCTTTTTTGTTTATTAACAAAGTAGAAAACAGTTGGAAAATTTTTAGACTAAATAGTCATTTGATAAATTTGGGAGGGAGACTGCACCGACTTGCATGTAGGTTGTCGTTGAATCTGATACGAGAGCGAAGACTATTGATGAAGTGTTTCCATCCTGCTGGAGTCTATTTAATTCAACTGGTTGTGGAAACTGCTTACAATGACTGTAACAATTTAAAAAATAATTAACACCAAAGAAAGAGAAACAGCCCTAAATTAATCGATTCTATTTGTTTGAATAAATTGTTGTAAATTGAAATAGAAAATATTTAATTAAAGAACAATTCCGACAAATAAAGATTGAATAATTTAATAGAATAATTGAAATGAGTACTGGATAATAAAAAATACTACAAACCTGGAGATAACGATGTGAAACAAGGGATTCCCTGGATTAGCTTTTCTGAAGTGCAGGGTATTATTCGGAAAGACTTTATAAGAAATTCTGTAATCCCCTTTCTTCTTTCTGACAGTCTTCTCCGTCGCTGATTTGATGATCCTCAGCCTCTCAAAGACATCCCCAAAGCTACCAGCATGCCTGACTCCCACCAAAGGCTGAATATTCTCCTCAACGAGCTCAACATCACTGCAGTCCATTTTATCATCTTCATCATGAATAGTAATAATTTTTGCCTCCCTCCACTTCTGCTTCATCTCAGACCACGATGATGCAGGTACTCTGGCAAAAGATGACTGATAAAGTCCAGCATCACTCCCCTGACTCGACGAACGAACTCTGGGAGTTATCCTGATGGATCTCTGATTGTATCTTCCTCGGAATAAATTCTGGGTCCGCCACATGAAATTATTACAGAAATTCATAGAATTATGGAAAGATGTTGCGGCTATGGTGTACCCCAGTGTCACAGAATTTCTGATTACATTCACCTGGTGATAGGACATCCAGCGTCTGGAGTTTATCTGAGTGCCAGTGGAATTTCTATCGATTCTCCGCTGCACCCAATTGCCAGAGTAATATTCACTTCTGAAGGATCGATTGTACGTAATGCCCCTGTTTTGGTAATTCTCGTGGCCATTTTGGTGGTAATTATGCCTCCAATGGGGGCCAGGGTTTCTATGATCGTATGATCTACTGCTATCGTAAGGCATAACACTTCTATCTGACTTCACTGATGACCTGAGAGTCTTATCATTCTCATTGATCATTTCTAAATATTGTTTATCACACTGATAAATCATTCTCTGGGGGTTGACATTGGGGGGAATGCAGTCAGTGGTTATTTTGATCCTGTCGTTGTTGGCCGTGTTGGGAAATTGATTCAGCAAATCCATTCGTGATGGGACTATCGGAATCTCCTGGATGTCCTCGTCTGAGAGATCAATTACCTCGTGTTTCGGTTTCTTTGATTGAGGTGACGTGGAGGTAATCTGGAGCTTTCGTTTGTTGTCATTTCGTCTTGGCAATTGTTTGACGTTTCTTTGAATTCTTGATGCTGTCCATTTGGGGGTTCCCTTCGAGTGCTCTGGGGTCCTCACGATTTTTATCGGGTTGATGACTGTCTCCTCCAGGACTATCTCCAGTTTTGTGGATTTTGAATTTTTTGGGTCCTCTGGGTCCACAGAGTTACCGTTTGTTTTTGGGGTCTCGTGGGTCTGAGATTTATCTATGAGATTTATCATTGTTTTCAGGGCTTCTTTCACCTCGACCTCAATTTTTTCAGGTGTCGCTGATGCCTCTGGTCGGGTTTTCAGGGGCTTTTGGTCTGTCATCCACTGGCCGTTCTCAGGGACGACGATGACCTTCTTCTTTGGATGAAAACCGTCCTCTGAACGCACTGATTTATCGTAGTGAAATCGTTGGAGGCGATAACCCAGTCTTGACAGCTGACTGAACACTCGATACTCGTTCAGGGTGACAGGGGAATTTGGCGAGTCCAGCAGGATCTCGTAAGCTTGCTGAATCGATAGTGAGAGTCCGTTGAATATCAACTCCAGGGAGTTGAGCTCTAGGAGCAATAGAGCCTCTTCTGGGATTAGATAGAGATTTCTGTTGAGTTCCGTACCGTAATTTGTCCATTCAACACCTGATCTTTTGGTGACGAGGGCTCTCTTCTCTGTTGGCAGCCACTCTGCCACTGCCAATTGTGACAGTCTGTTTACTCTCTCTATTTTCAGAAGATCTCTCATGTTCTCCAGATTTGTACTGATCTGTTTCTCTTGCAGCCATGAACCGTTTGGCTCGAATAATTTATCTCCACATTTTGGTAGCACGAGAGATGATTTCGCGTATTCGTCGTATGCCTGGGCACGAATTCCACGGGTTACCAGCAATTCTTTGGCACTGAAACATCAATGAATCAGAAAAATTAAATTCAAAACAATTGAAAACAATCGCAACCTGTTAATTATTATGTTGTAATTAATTATGGGATGGTGCAGTGAATAGAATCTTTACGTTAATTTTCATTGAATTGAATTAGTGTAGGAATTCCTTGAGGAATTCCTTTCCTTCTGAGAACTTTATCGATTTTAGGGGAATTGTCACCGGGGTATCTCAAATTTTAATTTTTTTTTTTGGGAATTAATTTGATTATGATGGACTTACGTCAAGCGATTACCAAGAGATTCCTCTTTTTCGTCTGTCATGGCTTCAAGGTGAATTTATCAGGGGACAGGATTTTTTAATGAATAAATTACTGGTGAATTCAAGAAGACAAAACCATCGTCGACAGAAGGCACTTAGCAGAGGAAAGGAAAGGGAAGTTTCATTAGAAATTTACGAGATTATATCGATAACTCGTTCTCAGAGTTGCCGGTATATTTATCGCGCCACGGGATGGCGTATGATGGATTATTCTGGACAAGGCGGGAAATTTTCAAAAATTCAATTTGAGAAAAAACGATGAAGACAAAAAAATGTGTGAATTAAAAAAATTAGAGAGCAGTTAGAAAACAATTCGTTTAAAATAATTAATTATTATTTGTTAATTGTCAATTTAATTGATTAATTGACGTTTATTTAATTGAAAATTGTATAAAATTATATTTTAAATATATTAAAGTTGTGGCAATTGATCTGTTTTTTTTAGGAGAGTTAATATCAACTTATAAATAATTGAATAGAACTCTCAATTATTTATTGTAAAAGGAGAATATTACTGTTAACAATATTAATAATACTTCTGCGCAGTGAACAATTTGTATTATAATCCTTTGAATTTGTGATATTTTTAAAAACTTGTAAGATTTTTTGGGCGAATATTTTCGCGAAGTAATATATTTACATTATCATAATTTGAGTTGTAATATTATAATTAAATTCATTTGGAGTGGTTAATAATTATCATTTAATTGATTATTAGAGTAAATTGGATTTAAAGCGGTTTCAGGAAGATGACATCACGTTGCGAGGAATCCACCGTCGACGGGAAGAGCTGCTCCTGTTATCATACTACTGCGATCACTCAACAAATAGACAATTGCGTCTATGACTTCGTCGACCTCTGGAATGAGAATCAGTGATATGATTATCATATGACAGGTCAGTGTTTCAAAAATATCTGTCTCCCTGCTGAGTTTTATATAGAATTGTTTACCAGCAAATCTGCCGAGAGGAATTTTATCCAGCATCACTCTCGCTTTTTCTGGATCCTCCCAGCCAAGTTTTCCCATCGCTGTCATGACAACTGTCGGATTCACACTGTTAACTCGAATCTTGTGAGGTCCCAACTCCAATGCCATTGTTCTACATTTAAAAAACGTAATAAATAAACATGATCCATTGTTCTATCACAATTCGCAGGGATAATTCCTGAAAACTCTTTTTGTTTTGGACAGTTCATGAGATAAATATTACAGATCTTGGCGAGAGAAGAGGATAATTGTTGGATTTCCGGATGTTAAATGCGTGAATCGTTCCCCAATTTTATTGAATGTAATAATAACTGATAAATATTAATAATTTACTTTGTCAGCATGTCGACAGCTCCTTTGGACGCGCAATAAATCGCATGATCCTTGATAGCTGCCTGACTAGCCTGTGAAGAAACATTAACAATACTCCCCCCGCATTTTCGCTTTATTAAATCGTCAGCGACAATTTGCGAGATATTGAAGATTGCTTTAACGTTGACATCCATCGTCAGATCGAAATCCTCTTTTGTTAATTGTAAAAATGGGGCTAGGGTAGCCACTCCAGCATTATTAACAACCATATCGATGGGAAGAAATCTCTTTACAGCAGCTCTGCTTGCGTCCCAATCCCTCAAATCCATTTCCAATGTCATTATCTTTGGATCTTCGTGTCTCAAAGTCTCCAGGAATTTCTTGGTCCTCGATATTGCAATCACTGTTGCTTTGTACTCGGACAGGCGAAGGGCAAGATCTCTCCCGATTCCTGGAATAAAAATAAAATCCGTGCCACCGATTTTCAAAATAAAAATCGAAAAATCCAACTAAAAATTCAAAATTCACTCAAATTACAAATTGTAAATCTTTAATTTTCTAATAACTTATTAGATGCTTCATAATTCCATTAATTAGTAGTAATAATTCAATAATATTATCCATAATTCATTAAAAATTACGATAACAACGTGATTAATTAATTATTTATAATTAGACTTTGAGATTTGAGTTAATATGAGAGAAAATTTGATTGGATTTAATTGTTAGTACTCATAATAATTATTATTGTTTACCTTGACCAGCACCAGTAACCAATACTCTTTTCCCCTCGAAGGAAATGTTCATTGTTGATGATTATTTATTTACCAGGCGTAAAGTCGATGTTGACTGGTTGTTACTAATCCCCAGACTGAGGAACGTTATCTTTATTTCATGAAGACGTGGATTGAGTTACATAATATTCCGATTACTTCAATTATAAATCACAAACAACTGTACAAGAATATTTTAATTAATTAATCGAATTTAATCAACCGATTGAGTCACCAATCGCCGATTTATTCATTGCATGTGAAAAATCTCGAAAAATTTTCTTCAAATATTATTATCTGTATCAAATTAAATATCTAGATATCACGGGTTTTCAAATATTTTTTATTTGACACCGAAATTGAGAGATTTAGCAGAATTTTCATTTTTATGTTTTTTGAATTAATAATTAAATTAAACGTCTACTTTACCGATCTTCGGATTATTTAATACAAAAGCGTCCCGACAGGGTATTCTACAGTTCAAGGTTCTTCTCGTAAAAAGACAAAAAAAAATCTGCAATAAAAAATCCCGTTAGTTTATCCATAACATAAAAACCATAAGGTTATGTTTTCCTTGAATTTATCACTGTAATTACCCCACCACGATCTCCCCCACTCTTGAAGACACAAGATTAATTGACGAAGAAATAGAATTTTACCTGCAAAGCTAGACGATTTTTTTCGAATATTTGAGGTTAAAGGGAAGAAAACAAGTGTAAGAGTAAAAATAATCGTGAAGATGACGTCTGTAGATTCGGGCGTTGAAACTGGTAATGAATCTAATGACAGTGGGCAAGCTGAGGGTCAATTATTATTTGTATCTCCGTCAACGAATTCAGTTAAAAGAGGAAGAGTTCAGGATGTCAAGAAGATCCCGGAACACAATGGAAAACAGTTGGAGCTTGTGATGGAAAGTAATGAGGAAATAACTCCACCCAAAACAATCGTCTGTCTACCACAGAATTCTCACTCACTGCCTCTTAATTTAAATTCCCTCGACAAGGTAATTATTATTCATTTAAAATATTGTATTGAATTGTAAAAAATGTGAATGAAAGATTTTGTGAGGATACTGAGGATATTTTGTGAGGGACTAGTTTCAACTTTTATTAAAAAATATAGTGAATCTAATTTATCACTTCGCAGAGGAATTATTTAGTTAAAATTAAATAGACATGTCATCTCCGCTAATTCGTCTAATTTTATGGTTTCAGGCCGTCCAGTTTAATTTTCCAGAGTACATGTCTGACACAAAATTAGTGGATAACACGAAGGACCAATGTATGCTTTCCTTTTGAATAATATCAAATTATAGTCGTTTGAATTCCTAATGGAGCTGAAAATGCAATTGTCTTTCAGGGTGTGTGAATAGATTTATGCCAAGGAGATTAAATAAATTATGCTACAGAAGAATGAAAAGAATTCCCTACAGAAACCAGTTGCGCTTTCAGAAAGATTGGGAGAGGAGAATGCGGATGGCTGCAGCAACGAATAATGTAGAATTAGTGACGAATCTTCTAGAAAAAGGTGTATCACCAAATAATACTGACTGCCAGGGGCGTTCGCCTCTCCACATGGCCAGCTCCAGTGGTTACACGGATGTTGTAAAAGTGTTACTGGATTTTGGAGCTAATCCCAATATGACTGACACCCTGGGAAATACCCCATTGCATCTGGCAGCTGTCACTTCAAAAATGCCAATCGTTGTCTTGCTGTTGAAAGCTGGTACCAATGTATTGTCATCTGATCGACATGGGTACAATCCTCTTCAGCTTGCCCAAACGAAACTCAGAATGCTCCAGAAATCTGGTGGATCTGAGCTCAGTGTTGTCAAGGAGGAAGTCCACAAGGTCGTGGAGATGCTCATGGCATATCTACAGCAGCAGAAAAATGTTGACCTACAAATCGAAGCTTTGAGCTCATTCTGTGCTAGACTCTCAGTATCACACACCACTGATCAAGTCCAGGATGATGTCAAGAATCTTCTTGCCAGCATTGATTCACTCAGTTTGAGTAATAACTGAAGAATTATCGTTGATTTTTTATTTTCCATTTTTGTTATTCCTCTCGCGCGCGTGTTTTTTCATGTTCACATTGAATTTCACGTCATGAGGTCCTCTTTGACAGGATAAAATCATTTTTTGATAGAGAATTTATAAGGAGAGATTTATTGAAGCATTTTTGTCGCGAACTTCGCCTTTTTTTTATTTGAATCTTCCTTCGAGATTTTTTTAACGCACAAAAACGAGTAGAATAATTCTGCCCACGGAAAATTGATGATGAACTGATATCAATAACCTGTTAAATGTTAAATCATAAATAATGACTGTTTCTATAAAAAATATTGAATAAATTCCTGTAGAAAATCGCATTGTCTGAAAAAAAAAGGGGAAAGAGTTTACGACTGTTCCCTTTAAACTGAAAATAAATTCAATTTAATTTCCAGCGATTTATTATTCAATTACTTGGACAAATGGACTTTTTTGGGGATAATCTTATGATTATTATTAATATTACTTTAATAAATCTTCAGAATCCTGACCGTGTGGGAAGCATTTTTTTTTTTGTACGTGAGATAATGATTAATCCATTGTTCTGCATGCGATTATCTCTTCAAGATTTATCAGTGCTGTAAATATCCCGTAAAGTTGAATTTCCATCAGCTATTATGCAGTGACTCCGTAGATGAATAATTAATATATTCCTCGGCAGTAATTGCAACAACGGAAAAGAAAAAAAAAATATATGTGCAGCCATACCTGCCAGACCTGCAGTTTTTATATTCGTGAAATATATTAATTAAATTAAACACAAGGTTTATAAATTTAATTTTATTTAATACTTTTATCACCATTACTGGGATGTCTAATTACTACTCTGAATGTTCAAAAATATTGAAGGATCAAATCAGTTCGGTAGGGAAGTGGTGAATGACCAGAGGTCAATGCTAAATTAATTTACTTTCTCTGCGTGAATTCTAGGGAGATCATTCACCACTTATCTACTGGCCTCATCATGCAAAAACGAAATGAAGCGTTTTATAATCCCATAATGATTGCTTATTGATATCGCAGGTTCTAAAAAATATTTAACAATTTGTCGATGTATTTTCCCATTTTTAACTAGAAAAAGCATCTCAAACAGGGCCTAGGCCAGTAGTCCGTAGGGAAGTGGGGAAACGGGATCAATTTTATTTATATAGATATCTCAGGCGCGAAGTAGAATTGAATGACTCCATTTCTTTCAATTATTTCAGCAGCAAAGTGACGAAATGAGAGAAAATGAACTCTAATTCCCGATTTATCTCGAAAACTATCGTTTTACGGGTAAAATGTCAAATAACTTTTTCGTAGCTGATTAGATTTCTAATAAAAAAGGTCGGATGGTATTGTCTCCTAAAATCAATAGTTTTCTAGATCAATCGATATTTTGAAGAACCAAAAAAGTCTAGTTCTCTCATTTCACCACTTCGCAGGTTTTTTTTTTTACTAAACACCTGGAAGCTCGAGAAAAATGTTAAAATTAATGTTGAATGACAAGAGATAATTAAATTGACATCCCATTTCACCACTCCCCAACTTTGGCACCAAAAATCCGTCTCAGAGCTAGAAATTCTCATGAAATCTCCAACAAACAGTACAATGATCACCTCTCGTCCATCAAAATACAATATTTACAATTAGAACTCTCATCACCTCGTGAATCTATAACGAACCAATCCCCTCAATTCAAGTCATCAAACTCCCACAATATCCCACAATTAATTCCCCTTTTTGTTCGACAAAAAGACGGAGGAAATGTCTCGAAAAATACTCTAGTGGTGCATCAGCAGCAGCGGAATTTATGAGCGTATTGATTTTGATTTAAATTCATCAAGTACATAAAATTGGTGTCCTCACGGTACTGGTCAAGGACTCATTATAGTGGCCATTGAGGGGAACACCTCGGCCTGCAATGGACCGTAATCCACCTCTTCACCGTCGACAGTCATGTGGCCATTTGTACCTTCCGGCTCGATGCGAAAACCTCTTACTGGAATCATTTCCACTCCAGGGCACGTCAAATGAGCTCCCGTACTCAATCCCAAAAGAAACTAGAGGAACCATAAAAGAGTCGTATCAATTTTATGACGTGGCAACAGATAAAATTTGTTTTATGATTCTTATACGGGTTTTTTTCTTATTGTCGACACGAATATTCAAACGATTTCATAATCCTCTGAATCGAATGAATCACACCTGGTGTTATTTGTATTACATGAATTTTCAAATTAAAGTTCCAAATCGATTTGATTTTTTCAATTTCACGTGTCACATTTCGATAAATAGCAATCCTGTTTAAATAAAATCCATAAAAATTTGTATTATTCTCGCAAAAAGTCTTGTATATCATTTATCAATTTATTAATTTACCAATTTTATTCAATTAAACCTCAAAATTGTGGAATTATCTCAACGAATTTTGATAGATGGAATTCATAAATTACGGGATCAAAACAATTTACCTGAAGAAGATTTGTACGAGTGATACCAGCTCTTATGATCAGTAGCCATATCACACCATCAGCTAACTTTGCTCTCGGTGCAATGAAACAATCTTGTCCGATATGTGATTGATAAGCTGCGTGTACGATAACAAATTCCCCTAGATAAATAAATTATTTTTAATTGAATCGACTGCCTCTGCCCACGTCAGGGGTCCAAGTACGAATGGGAGTTTAATTCCAACGATTAAATACCTTGTATCTGTATCCAACTATTAGGAAGTTGCGCAGTCAATGCCGGAAGTGATGATGACGGGCCATACATCACGCGATTGCCGCTCTCATTCTCTTCATCTGTTCATCAATATCGAATTCATTGAATTAAAGAGATCAATACGCAATTAATTTCATTGATAGCCCATCGAGTTATCAATAGAATTTTGCAAATAAATCCTGAAGGACTTTCTCGAAGGAAACGTCAGGATTAAATTTCATTCAACTTTTACAAATCTACGAACAATACCTGGCGTTAAATTATCGTTATCTTCCATACTGTGATAACTAGACGCAGATCCAGTACTGAAGTACGTGGATTTTCGTGATGTTGCAGAGTAAAAGCTGTCCAATCTGGTCCGCACCTGGTTTTCAGTTTCCAGTGATAAATTCTCTGTTATCACGTCATTTTCATCTAGATACATGTCGTCAAGACCACTCGTTACTGAATCCATAACGTCGTGATAACTCTTTGACTCTCGCACTCCGCAGTATCTTCCAAACAAAATTTAAACAATTGTTTAATGTTCCTTCTGAAACTTAACATTCAAAATTCCCTCCAGATTTTTCTATAAAATTTCACAACTCTTTCTCTGACTCGAATAATAATAATCCAATTACGAAGATAATAGAATGGTAATGATAATAATAATTATTGTTTAGTAAAATGGAGTAATTTAATTGATTTCGTTGAAATTCTCGTGATTTGAGGAGTTGAAGTAAATTAGTGGATGAAGAGGTAATTTTTGATGATTTACCGATCAAGTTGATCGCCGTAGCTCCTGGAGTGTGGGATAATGACTTCATCTTTGAAATCTTTATCGTAGATATTTCCATTGCTCTTGCTCTCGGCTATAGATACTTTATCACAGGGTAAGTATGACACTTTTCCCTTGTAAGTTCTTAATCCAATGAGCCTGGCCAAGCTCCAAATGGTGAAACGCTGGGCGCCAATAGCCCGCAGACTCTCACTCTCAATGTCAATGTCTGCCAGGAATCCCCATCCAATTGATAAAAATGAGAATAAAATTTGATTGCGCGTTTCAACGCGAACTAGATCCATCGGTGTCTTTCGGCTCTTCACGACAGACAGGGCACTTATCAGCATTGGATTTGAATCGTAAGGCTCTCTAAATGAAACAGATTGATCTAATTATTCATTCAGAATGAAAAAACAATTTATGAAGGATAATTTAACGATCTGGGGGAGAGGGAAAAGTCTGGAAAGTCTGGAACGTCTGGAACGTCTGAAATCTGGAACTTGTTGAATTTCTGGAACTTCTTCAATCGTCAATAACTCGAAATCCGCTGAATAGAATTCAACGATTTTTCTTTCGTTTTGAAGTTCTCTTTTTAAACTTCAAAATGAAATAATAATCATTCGATTCCACTCTGCGGTTTTTGAGTTATTGAATATTGAAGGAAAATTGAGGTGAAGAAATCGACGAGAGGTTTCAACGTCTGCAAACAAATTTAATAACTCTAGAATCAACAAGTCGAATGTCAATATTGAATGTATCACTGCAGCTTGGAGTCTCCAGTTTCCAAGAGATATTACTGAATCGATTTGTATAAATCATTAAACCTGAATGAAGAAAGACATAAATATTGAATTACTGTAGGTGCAATTACCGAGGAAATATCAATCGAAATATCAGATAATCTCTCGATGATTTCATTCTCGTGAAGAAGTGAATTCTTGGGGGTCAACTCAAAGTAATAGCAGTAATTATTTATAATTTCATTTACCCCTTGGCATATGCGATGGACTTGGCCAATCCATTCCCTGATCCACAAGGAATAACTCCCAGTGGAAGCTCCCTCAACGCTCTATCCCAATCCGGTCTCTCCAAAATTCCATTAACAACTTCGAAGACAATTCCGTCACCACCAACCGATAATATCCCACTCCACTGATAAATATCTCTCGTCCTGACGAATTCTCTGGCGTAATTCGAGTGCTTTGTGATATGTACGTCATAGAATTTCTCGGATTCCGATAAAATGGGATGAATTCTCCGTTGGAAAATCTCTTTTCCTCTTCCAGGCCCCGATTTTGGATTCAGAAGGACAAGAATTTTCTTGCGATCACCAGCACATGCTGAAATATTAAAACAATTACTGGAATTATTATGGGAGATAATTATAAATAAAATTGGTATTTTATATTTTTAGGAGTGAAAAAATGGAATTGACAAGTGGTTTTGATTTTTTTTATGGATGTACCTGTGGAGATCTTAGGGGATTATTAACAATTATGGTTAATTGTCAATTATTTTAGAGATGAATACCGATTATATTTTATATCAGCAATATCGCGTGTTGTTGCGACATGGGGATAAGTTATATTGTTTTTAATGGCTCTAGATTGGACGTACATTGAATGTCATAATGTCACGTTCCACTTCTGTCGGGTGATTGTTTCATCTCCTGCGTGATTTCTCGTTTCTGTTTCCAATTAAATTTATCACCCTGAGGTCACCCAACTTTTTTCAATTCCAAATTCAATAATCATAGCGCAAAATAATCACGAGGAGCAACAAATGAGAATAACAAACTCAATGAAATATTCATTATGAATATAAAATGAGACATTTCTAAAAATATTTTATCTTTCAAGATTCTCGTTGATTTAATGACAAGGAAAAATACGTCAGAGTCAACCGTTAAATAATAATTTAATCGCCTCTCCTTCTGAGAATTAATTCCTGAGAATTATTTCTGCAAAATAATTAATATAAGTTATTAAAAATAATTATTTCAATAGCCTAAACTAAATTATCGAATCCTAAAATTCGGTTGATGATTAATTGATAAAAATTGAGAGAAATTGAGTTTTTTCTCAGATCCAGAAATAAAATTCAGGAATAATTCTACGTGTAATTTTTCTCTGGGATAAAACCGGGTAAAAGCTGGCGTTTAAATTCACTCATCCAACATTCACTGTTGGCATAATACTGCGGAAGGGATTGTGAACCAGTGGAAATTTACAAACCATTAAATTTTGCCTGGAATAATAATTCTGGTCATCCATTCACTCCAGAGAATCCAGCGATATTTTTAAAATGATCAGTTCTCCTGTCGTCGATTAATAATTTAATATTAATTTAATACCGTATATTAAATTAATAAAATCGAGACATATTCCATAACATAATGGATTATATACGTAATAGTATACATTATGTAATCTTGCGCTCAATATATATTATATAGTAATTGTTATTATCAATGATAACAATCAGAGGAAAAGAATTAAATAATTTTGAAAAATAATCTCTCAGTTTAATTATTAATTATTAATTATAGAATATTTATAAATTTTGCGAGTGAAATCTACAAATTCTGAGTTATCAATTATTATTAATAAATTGATAATACATTTTTTAATATAGAATTGGTGGTGAATGAATTTTATTAGATCAGAAGTTTATCGGATTTTTAGGGGATTTTTATTATTTTTTAAGTAAATAATGAGAGGGGAGAATTTTCTATTGTTTGAAATATTTTTAACAGCTCAATATTGTTACTAGGAGATTGTTCCACTGGACTACATGTTCTAACATTCCTTATCGCGTCGTTACGTAGAAATTGACCGAGTAACTGTTCGTCAGCTAGAGGTGATAAACGAGGGACAAAAAGCTTGATGAAGACGAAGGATTACGATTTTCCATGGTCTCCTAGGATTTCCTCGAGGAAATAAAAACCATCCGGGGACAATGAGAATAAAATGTCCCACGTTTTATCAGAATTCATTCAAGAATTTTATCAATTCGTCCAGATCAATCGCAGAAAGCCATTCTATTTTTCCACGTCTAGTTTATTTTATTGAAAAATCAGCGGTGAAAGGGAAATGTCAGGAGTTATTTCAAGTGAAAATTAATTGCAAGTTCTCAGAGCAGAAATTCGTGGAGATTTTCTTTTTTAATATTTTTATTAATAAATTGAAGAAAATTTCTTGGAGGAGAGTGAAAACTCTGGGGAATTCGCGACTTGTGGTGGGAGATTGGGCAGGAGTTTAAATGGTGGATTAATGGATCGTTCATGAAGAGACAGATTAAATAGACTGGGTGATAATAAAAGAGAGAAAAGAATTCTAAAATTTATTTTTCAATCACAACAGCTGTTTCTTATAGTAAAAGCTTTTATAGTAAAGCCCTTGGACGTTCGCCAGTATTTTTAACTCCAAGACTAGTTTTTTATTTATTTCTTTCAAGTAATCTAATATTTCAATTTAATAACCAATTTGGTGGGTGCTGAGGGCAACTGTTTTTAATTACGTAAGAATTGATTTAATTGCGAACTTTGAACATGAGGAAGTCCTCGGTATTTTTCTCTCGATTGATGGAAAACGTCAGAGTTTTTTCCGAGATATTAACGCCTTCTCGGATTTTTTTTACTCGACGATTTATTATTGCAATGAGCTCTGAATATACATTCAACAATTTGTTGTGCATTCGATTAAAAAAAAAAAACAAAAAAAGTCATCTACAGACTTTTAATTAGTTTACTAAATGTGTTCCATTAATTTGTCGATTTTCCATTTATATTAATTGATAATATTGATAGGGTGAGGTATATTTTAAAAAATGGTGATAATGGAAGGAAATTGATGGGAGAATTTAATAAATTCGGGGATGAATAAAAATTAAAGGAGTTAATGAGTTTTTCAGATAATTAGTTAAGGCCCGGATGGACTGTCCGGAAAAGATAATTTACTCCAAAATTGGGACTTCTAATTACCCCGTAAATTAATCGTTTTTTCTGATAATTTTATTATATTTTATTTCAATAACAATTATTGAAAAAAAAAGATTAATTGTCAAAGTAATTGGGAATCCGAATTTCGGAGTAGATGATCTTTTCTGGATAATCCACCGGAGCCTTAATAATTTTGGTGGAGTGTAGATTGAGGTGAAAGAAATAAAAATGTTGTAGTGAATATTTTGGTGAAAAATTGAGGGAAAATGAAAAATCTGGTGTCATTGGTTCTTGCCTTAGGCTGATTTTTCAAGGCCAATTGATACTGTTCGGTTTGGACATCGGCCTTTTCCCTTTATTGATTAATTCCATATGGTTGCACCAAAACGAATTGCCTCTGACGCAGGAATCGGTCTAGCCTCTAGCTGGACGATTGCACACACGCGAGCCAATGGAGTCCAGGGCTTCCCCATAAATTAACGAGACCTCATCTTCATCAAGGTGAGATCAATAATTCAGAGGGACTATTCTCTGTACACGAATTAAAAATCCTGAGGAAATCCTGATGAAATTGCGATTGAATTTCCCGAAAAATCCTTACGATTTCAATTCGCCATTTTTGTTTAATCTCGTCTAATTTTTTTTATAAGTTCGTCATAAATAATCAATTTGCCTCGTCCCTCCTATCCTTCCCCCTCCCCACTCCTGTCCATCAATTGAAAATTCGGAGAAAATTTTTAGGGGATTTCTTAGAAAATTCTCGCGATTGCCATTTTTTATTTTCATTTATCATTTTTTCATGATGATAAATATTATAAATATAATAAATATAATAAATATAATAAATATCATGATAAATATTGGGCCTCACCCCAATATTTATCATCAATTAGCGCATCAATTAAAAATCCTAATAAAATTTGCAGAGAATTTCACAAAAAATTCTCGCGATTACGATTTTCTATTTTCATTTCCAATTTTTTCATGATAATAAATATTATAAATATAATAAATACTATAAACAACATCATAAATATTGGGCCTCACCCAGTGCATCAATTAAAACTCCTGATGAAATTTCCAGAGAATCTCACGGGAATTTTCGGAAAATTCTCTGGATCGCTATTTTTCCGACTTTAATTTTTAATTTGTTCAATAACATTAAGGCTTTCAGAGTCGAAGAAAAATCGAATGTTTTCTTCACTATATAATGGATTATTGATCTCTATGGAATGAGTATAAGTGATCGTACGATCTCCCACGAGTCACGACAGAACGATCCAGGACTTTGTCCAATTGAATTTTGCACCCAGCGAATCATTCCGTGTAATTACCATCAATTATCTCCATAAAAACAAAAAAAAAAAATCCCACAGGTTGTACTCGATCGAGGATTAATCGAGAGAGATTTTATAAGGTCGATTCGAGTCTGTACGTCTTCCAAACAAGGGACAGTAGCCTTGAATTTAATTTATCTCCTTGATATTCAGTGAAATGAAAAAGGTAAACTGGTGATAGAAACTTGAAACTGAAGGTGAAAATCAGAGAATTATTAAAATCATCGACAGAAATATTTCAATTGACATTTCAATACCTAAAAAAGCCCCTAACTGAATAAAATAAACAATAAATAAAAATCCAGAGACTAAAATAAAAGATTGAATGGCAAAATATAAAATCCTGTTGACAGCGAATAATCAAGTTAAATTCCCACATAAAAAAAATAGTCAGCTCTTCATCAGACAGGTGTCACAGGTTTTCCATCAGACAACCACATGTACTTATTCCATGTACCTATTCCCCTCGTTACATAACACCGTGTGTTCGTCACACGTGCGTCCGGTATACCTTCTGCCTCTCCAAGTAAAAAAAAAAACGATTGAACGTGTTCGTGCGCTGGCAAATCCACGTTTTGATGGTAGACTATAAAGATAATTGGTCAACTTTGTCCCATTACCGATGACTAAATTGCATGCGTTTTTTTATAACAATTGCAGAATAATCCGCGAGTTCCACCGGAGAAACAATGAAAAAAGACAAGAGAATAAATAAATAATTATTTCAAAAAGATATATCTTCTGTAAAATCTACAGATCGTAGATTTTAATAAATAATTCTTGATTAATTGTAATTTCAAAGATCTTCAGTGATTATCGATTTTTTACGCAATGACTTTCGCAATCAACTTTATTTACATTAATGAAGAAAAATCACTGAGCAACAAAAACTGGAGTTTATGCTGGATTAAAAAAGCAGTAATTAAACACGCCAACGTGAGGTGGTTATTTTCAAGAAGTAATCCTTTCCTGTTGATTTATCCGATGGAAAACTGATAATAAAACTTCAAACAAGTGCTCTAACGTATTTATCTTTCTGTGAGACCTGTGACACCTAATATTCCCTAAAATATTCATAAATCCAGAATTTTCAAATATAATTCACGTTAATTAAGAGAATTTATTAAATACCAAAAATAATAATAATTATTTAATTTTCATTTGTCTTCCAAACGATTCGTTTTAATTTCTAAAAAAAAATGTGTGAATAAATGGTTTTGCCTTTTCCAAAAAAATTGGAGAACGAGAAATTTTATTGATTTGACAGATCGAATTGACGGATTGAGAGTAAAAAGGGAGAGAGATCTGAGATGTGAAAAAAAGAGCTCACCATCCAGCAAATCACTGAGATTTCCGTGACTGGGACTCATGAGATTCCAGGGTATGGTGATCCTGGCGACAAGACACTTGATAGCAAGTCTCCAACGACTGGCCTCCCGCAAATTATCCTCGTACTTATCAAAAGATCTGAATCTCAGTGTTATAGTTGTTCTTTCACGCCTCCTCGCGCCCTTAACACGTGCCTTTTTCAATGTATAGGCGTAGATATAGAGATAAGCCGATGTGTCAAGCTCATCCCAAGTTGTGAAACCGTCAGTTGTTGATTCGACAAGTCTGAGTTGACTCTTCGAGACACTTGGACGACAGGCACAACTACCGGCACTTCTTCTTTTAGATCTCATACACCGACACCCAATAATGTCATTCAAACCAATGGTCTCAGTCTTGGTAGCACCATTGCTCTCTTTCTGAAGACTCAATCCCTTATCACTCAATTTAACTCGATAATAAGTATTCTTCTTCGATGTTATGTAGAATGTCTCCTCCAGCAGAGTACTCCCTCGTATCGTGTCCTCAGCCATTATTTTAGTTGTAAATATTATTGTTTTGAATTACGAGTACATCCGGACTACCGCAATCCTCTCAGCTATTATTCCACGACTATCAACAGAGAAATTTTCACAACAGAGAATATCATGTCATCTATTTTTCGATTATCTTATTATTTGATTTTTGATGTTTAATGAAACGAATTCAAATTCATCTGGTGATGAATGTGGTGATGGTGTTGGTGATCTCCAGGGGTATTCGGAGGTGGTGGATTTTTTTTTTTAATTTTTATCATGCCAGTTGCAATGCGACGAATAGATCCATTGGTGATAGGGGTTGCAGGGTGAAATTTTTCTTCTCGATTTTGGGGATCACGATTTATCACTGCACTGGGATGGAATTTAATGACTGGTGGCAGGGGGAGTGTCTCGTGGGTTTGAGATACTTTTTATCTTTATTAATTGGTAATTGGAACTGTGGAATTGCTTGAAGGAATCACTGATGTGTCTTTTACGGCGCCTTTCGAGCTACTGGAGCTGTACGACGCCTGTCCTGGTGTTTCTGGGGTTTCTCACTCTAGAATTGAGATTTCTCACTCTTGTGGAAGGAAATCCGCGTTCTGGAGGGGTCACGGGATTTTTTGGAGTCTGTAGAGGCATCTTACGGGGTGGACCATCAATTTTTATGGAGTTTTGTCGGTAAAACAGGGGGAGATTCGATGTTCTGATTAATTGCGATTAGTACGATTAATCGAATTGTAATTGACGTAATTAGGGTTTGTGGGAATATCCGGGTGTATGAATTTATTGAGATTGCGGGAATGTCAGTGCGCAGGGCACATTCAAATTTCCCGCCTTGGGGTTTTTCCGATTTTATTGGATAATCGATTTTTTATTCTCGAGTTTTTCGATAGGGGGAATTTTAGTTTTATCTCGATTGGAATATGGGATAAGAGGATATCAGGGCGGGAGGGGATAATCCAAAATTTTTTGGAATTTTTGAAAATTTTTGAACATTGGTATGGAAAATTTACTTTTTCGAACACCCGTACGAAAAATACACTTTTCCCAACCCCCATATAAAAAAGTTCACTTTCCCTCACAATTTTTGGGGCGAAAAATTTCAGAAACAAAAAATTCGCGAAACTAGCGCCTTTTGCTTTTGAGAAAACCAAAGAGTTATTTTTTATTACTCATTTGATTAAAAAAATATAATATGATATAGTGATAGCAAAAAAAAATGAAATATTCAAATAATCCTGCGAGTGGCGGGCAAATGACAACTATCGCCATCTTATAAACTTCCGGTTTCTTTTCGAGGCGTGCGCGAAGCACGAAGTGCCCGTTCTTTTCCGATTTGTCAAAATGGTAAGACATTGTGAAGTTTATATCTCATTGATAAAAATCTGTTGTAATCCGTGTTTTGCGTTGACATCCGAGGATGCAATAATTGTCAAGTGAAACTATCAATGTTAGTTTATTAAACAACAATGGTATTTATCCACAGGGTATCGACATCAATCATAAACACGACCGCAAAGTGCGGCGAACAGAACCCAAGTCTCAGGATGTCTACCTCCGACTTTTGGTTAAGGTAAGTTTTTAAATAAACAATTTCCTTACAAAATTGGGATTGAATCTTTCATTCGGTTTCAACGCACGTCATTACCGAGTGTTAATGACCGATTTGTTGAGTAATAAATATTTAAGGTTAGGATCAATAAAGTGTCAATACACATGTCTAGATAATTGCGTGTTTTTATTGTTTATTGGTACTGAATTATTATTTGTTAATCACTCAGTTTATCTCTGCGAACTGCACTCTGTGTCTGTCCGAATTTGGACTGGTCCAATTTGAATGCTCGCTAGATTAAATCAATCAGCTTTCCTATTCTGGCTCTTGGGTTTCACTGAGAGTCAATTATACTAGCTGACACAATTGATTTCATTAATTAATTAATTATCAATTAATCCCGAGGAATTACGGGCAGAACATACCAAAATTCGATTATCAAATCGTTGAATTCCCGGAATATTGTAGATTAATATCCGATAATTTCCACTTTCGATTAATTCAATTAATTCGATTAATCTTCCATGAAAAATTAAAAATCAATTACTTGATTTCAGCTGTACCGTTTCCTGGCAAGACGTACCAATGCAAAATTCAACAAGATTATCCTGAAACGTCTCTTCATGAGTAAAATTCACAGGCCACCAATTTCGTTGGCACGTGTCGTGAGATTCATGAAGAAACCAACACGTGAGAATTGCATTGCTGTTGTTGTGGGTACAGTCACGGATGATGCCAGGATTTTTGAGATTCCAAAGTTGACTGTAAGTTAATCCTCAACAAAAAAAGAAACGTCTCAACGATATTAATCAGCCACTGAATGATTAATTGACCCCAGATCAATCATGACAAACAATTTTTAATTATTCAAATAATTAATTCAATGAAATAATGCAACTGATGCTCTGGGGATGCTCTGATTATTTCTGATTGATCCTTTTAATGAATTTTTCAAACTAGGTTTGTGCTCTCCGTGTGACTGAGAAAGCTCGCGGACGAATCCTGAAGGCTGGGGGTGAGATAATTACATTCGATCAATTGGCACTGAGAGCACCAACTGGAAACAAGACAGTCCTGATGCAAGGACGTCGCAAGGCACGTGAGGCTGTCAAGCACTTTGGACCAGCTCCTGGTGTACCGCACTCCCATACCAAACCCCTGGTTCGCTCCAAGGGAAGGAAATTCGAAAGGGCCCGCGGCCGCAGGCGCAGCTGTGGTTACAAGAAGTAGACGATTATATTCATTCTGCCACGATTTATTTTTTCCTGCTATCACTATCCAAACTGATGTTCTTTTGTACGTCGGAGATGAAAGAAATAAATTGGGGTAAACGTAATTCTCTGGTTTTATTTGTTCCCTTAATTTATCTCAAATCAATTCAATGGGAGAGATGTGAAATAGATTTTTATTTTCAATTCATGAATCTTTTCAAAAAATCGAAACACTCCTTCCGTTTTTTTCTTAATTAGTTTGAAAATCGATTTTCCAATTGTTTCCTTCATTATTAATAATAATGTCAATATGATAAATTATTAAAAAAGATTTATAATGAAATCTCGAAGTATTCGATTCAATAAATTCGACAAATTATTCGATTTATACATAAAAATAAATAATAATCATAATATAATTTCCCCATTCAATTGAATCCGTCAACCTGTCCTCTCAGCGCTGTCCCCCACCTCCTCTCCTGGTGACTCTTCCTCCATCCTCTCCTCATCGTCATCCTCTTCATCAGCTGGGAGTACCTCCGGGAAATAAGCATTAGCTTCCTCGACAGCGACATCGGGGTTCTCGCTGACGTGATAGGGACCGATCCCTGCGAACGTCAGAAATGCCTCGGAACCGACTTTTCTCACAACACAGACAAACGCCTCATATCCGGTCTTTTCCTCAGTACTGGCGTCGAATTCCTCGATGGAATTCGCTATTAGTCTCGCCTCCCCAGGTTTATCCCTCTCGAAGATCCCGAAGTGGAGGACCTCGGACTCCTGCATCGCCAGGACTATCTTCAATTCATTTTTTCGAGTGCTATCGAACTTGAAGACCATTATTGGAGCCTTTTCCGTTTTATCTTCATACTGAAATGTTTATTAACCAAAATTAACAGTTCATTATTTCGAGATTATATAATTCCTCTCATTATTATATTAATCGTATTTGATAATTATTTTCAGTATTAATCATTTCTATATTACTGTATTAATTGTTTCTATTATTGAATTTTTATAATTCGTTGATTTTTAGGTAATTAATTAGGTATATTAATTAGTAATTGAAGGGAATGCAGGTGACTCACTGGAAATGTTGTATCCAGATATTTTTTGAAGATCGTCTTGAAGAGACTGATTTTATTTAATGAATTTGGAGTCGCCCAGACGACGGGGAAGATGAAGTTCTCTTTTCCTAGTGGAATTGACGCCGGCTTATGGCGTTCTGCAAAGCTGTAATAATTCTTCAATGAATGAAAACTATATTAACAAATATCAAATGATTTCTTCCAGAATTCAGTTCCCTACAATAATTTTTCTTTATTTTTCATTATTCACAAAGAATTTTCTACAACTCCAGAGGATTGACAAATTTTTATAAAAAATTGTAAATGCCGCGTTAGGAATCAAATTAATTTTATTATCAATTGAAATTATGTTGTATTGATTTTTCAAGGACATACCAACCCTCTGGGACTTCAGCATCAATCGGTGGTAGTCGTGGCTCGCCGAATAAGAGATTCAACAAATATTTTTCCACATCCATTTCTGGTCTGTTCTCTCCAACTTTAAGTCGCATGAAGAGACATTTCCCTTCAGTCAACAGCTGTCTAGCCTCTGGAGTCACTATCCAATCAGACTGGAATTATCAATGAAAATATCTCAGTATATCCAAAGGAAAACAAACCTCTGCAAATATTTTGTTAATCAAATCTTCATTCAGTCGTTTTCTAATCTCTTGCTCCACAATGTAATTCTCTGGAAGAACATTTTCCACTAGATCAACGTAAGGTGGACTTGATCTCTTGTCTCTCCTGTGGCCCTCTTCGTCCTTGAATACCCAGGGGTACAGCAGGAGACAGGTCTCGTCCAGGAGAGATGTCATCAGGTGGTGCATTTCTGCTTCGTATCG